ATGCTGTGTCCATTTAGCAGTGTGATAATAGTAAATTCTCACCCAGGGCCTATATCTGTCTATCCATAACATCTAAGTAATTATGCTAGGCATGGGTGACTTTTTGTGATTTGGCCCTTAAATCCAGTTGAAAAGTGGTTGGTTGTGGATTTCCCAATGGAGTTCAATATAGAAACACCATCATTTTTTTGTAATTTGTATCTTGGTAATAAAAAAGTTGCCAGATTTTTTTTAATGGTGATATTGTATTTTGTTAATATTTGAAAAAAATGTATAAGCTGTGGGAGTATGAGTTAGTCTTGGGGGTCAGTTAAGTATAGAATAATGTCATCTGCAAATAGGGAACTTTGACTTCTGTCTTTCATATTTGTATTTCTTTGTGTTTCTTTCCGTTCCTTTTCGCTATAGGAAGACATCAAACACCAAGTAGAATAAACTTAGAGTGAGTGGATGCTCTTGTTTTCTTACTGATTTTAGAGAAAGTGGTTTTATTTTTCTGTATCTCTTGCCAGGTTTCCTGTAGGCTTCTCATGTACCACTCTTACTGTAGCTTATCTCTCTTCTATTTCTAGATTTTCTGGAACTTTTTCATGAAGGAATGTTCAATTTTGGATCTGTAGATATGGCCATGTAACTTGTTTCCTTTGTCTGACTACTCTAGTACATTTACTGATTTACATATATTCAACAAGGACTGAAGTGACCCTAAGCAGATAATAGTCAATGATCTTTCTGATCTGTCATTCAAGTTTGTTTAAAATAATTTTATTTAAATATTAGCTTCTGTTTGTCCTCAAGGAAATTGTTCTACAATTTTCCTTGTGTTGCATGCCTGTCCACTCTCACTGTTATGGTAATAATGTTTTAAAATAATGGTTCCTTAGCATTCCCTCACTTTTCACTTATATAATTAAATGTTAAAGAAAGTAAGTGATTTAGAACTTGTTATTACTTGGAAGTAAATTCAGGGATATAAAAATATTAAGTGCACCTATATTGTAAAGAAATTGTATTGTAGTTGTGCAGTGTAGTGTCTCTCTATTATTTTTTAATATGTTTTAACAGAAAAGAAATAGTATCTCTTTCCCTTCTCCCTTTCTCCCCTCTAGTCCCACCCAGATATAGTCCTTTGAATTATTCCAATGCCCCCAGTCTTAACTTGATATCATCTTTTTCTTTTATTATCATAGTTATGGGCATATATGTGTTCATGCACACACGCATGCCTATTCTTATCTAGAGTGTTCCATCAAAGACAAAACAAGCTTTCTAGTCTAGAGGACTTTCATCTTCCACGGGGTTTGTCCTTGCTCTTCTGCAGGCACCCTCCCTCCTTACTCATCGTCACCCATCAGTCTGATCTGAGTAGAAAGGTAGCCACATTGGCACTTCAGACATCTTCAATGGTCTCATGAGTTGGGATATAGATTTTTCCACTTATGTATGCTGTTTAATTTCAAATTCTCATCTGCTACATTAATTGTAGATGGTTTTTAGTATTTCGGAGTTTGCAAACGTTAGCATGACATAATGAAACATTTTAAAGAATGGTTCTGATTATTAAAGGTCCATATCTACCATCTGCATATAAGTGTGATTTGATCTTAACATTAAGCACTTAAGAATATCTTTAAATAGTTAAATAAAACTATAATAAAAAAGAATGCATTTTTGTTCAGGTCTTGTTTAGGCAGCAGTGCTGAGGAGACTTTGTGAGTACAGCTTCTCTGACACTTCTAAGAGATGAAACCTGACAGTAACCTTTCTGTTTCTCTGGCTCATAGAAATTTTCTTTTCCCTATTCTCCATTGATTCCTGAGTAATAGGTTCAGCAGCCTGAGAGGAATTAGAGCTAAAAAAAGGGGGAGGGGAGAGGAATACATTTGAAGGAATAATATTTCAGTTTTTATCTGCATGGGAAATGATGAAATTGGACTATAATTGTTACATGTAAACAGAATTATAGCTGAACTCCATACCTGAATTCCATTCCTCCAATACTTATGTCTATCCAAGTATAATACAGTTTACCTTTTTTACTGAAAGATAGATACTAAGTTTGGGTGAGTGTCCTTGTGAGACACATACTATATAACAGAGCAGGAGAATACCACCTTTGAACATAAAACTAATAACAACTTCAGAGTTCATGCAAAATGAGAGACTTTGAGTATAAATATGTTCACCCAGATCTGGGAGTGCCTACATACAGATAAGGGTTGTAAACAGGATGTGGCCACAGGGCAAGCCTGGAACATCCAGACGCAGGAACCAGGTGAAATGACAATGTTCTAAGGATAATAACGGGCCCACTTACCTTCATTAAAGACAAGCAATAGCAGCTATCAATACAAAGACAGCTGAATAGTAGTAAAGGATGCTCCTCAAGGTGATGAAGACTAATGACTCATGGGTAATGACATTTGTCCATGTTTACTTTCATATCTTTGATAAATCTGATAATATAAGTTTGTTGTAGAATAGTTTGTTGTGAGATATACTGCAAATGGACACATTTTATCATGGTAAGGAAACTGACAAAGCTGGTCTCAGTGATTTTCCACAATCAGGAAGCAGAGATATATAATGCTTTTGATCTACTTTCTTTGTCCTGTATGTTTGGTCTGAGACACAGCCCACGAAATAGTTGATCCCATGTGCAATGTCAGTCTTCTCTCCTAATATAGCCAGTTACAGAATCCCCCACACAGACACACACAGAGCTATTTCTCCTAGATAATTCTAGATGATATCAAATAACCAATCTTTACTAACCATCATAAATCTAATCCTCATATGATGTGTTGGTTTGAATGAATAATTTCTCTCATAATGCTTCAGTATCTGAATGGTTGTCAGCTTGTGGTGTAGCTTTGCTGAAGAATGGATCCCTAGGGGTGGACACTGAGACTTAAAGAAGCTTTGCCTATTTCCATTTTTCCCTATATCATGTTTTCTATTATTGGTTTAAACTCACAGATTTCTGTTCCTGCTTCCATACTCCCTACTTTTTGACATGCCTCCATTCTGTAAACATGGAGTCTTATTCATCTGGAACCATAAGCTGAAATATATCCCCCTTCCTTATGTTGCCTTTGGTCATGATATTTTACCACAACAACTCAACAGTGACTAATAGAATGGTAGCTGCAGTTTTCTCCAGTCCCACCCAGGCCCACAGCCGCTCTGACCCAAGAAAACACACAGAGGCTTATATTAATTATAACTGCATGGCCATGGCTCAAGCCTTTTGATAGTTAGCTCTTATATCTTAAACTAGCCCATAATTACTAATCTATGTATTGACTAAATACGTAGATTTATTTGTGTTCCATGTTCCATGGCTTTACCTGAATCCCATTACATATTACTCCTTGGACAGTTCACTGGTGTCTCTCTCAGCCTTCTTCCTGTCTCTCTCTTTGAATTTCCTGCCTGCCTCTAAGCTGCCTTGCCATAGGTCAAACAGCTTTATTTATCAACCAATCAGAGCAACACATATTCACAGTGTACAGAAAGACATCCCCCATCAAGAATGACATACACATATGTCATTTTAAAACAAGACTTTCTACCCCCTTCCTCATAAGCTAAACTTGTCATAACACATAATCCACTTAAACCATTAATGTATCCCCAAATTATTCACCAAGTCCATTGTCTCTTTTGAGACACATGGCAATCTCTTAATTGTAAAATTCTGTAAAACTCAACTAAGGTACATAGTTCCAATATATAATATCACAAAGGAATCAGTGCAATTGTAACAGGAAAGAATGGGGACATATCAATGGGGGACATACCAAGAACACATTGAATCCTTAGACAACTAAGCATCAAATCCTCCCACTCTAAATGTAGTATCTGTGGTTCATGATGGAATGATTCTGGCTCTAAGGGGCTTGGAGAGCCCAGCCTCTCAATATCCACAGGCTACAGTATAAGGCTTTTCCATTAGACTGCTTGCACTTCATTACTGTAGCATTTCTCAGTGAACAGTCCCACCTCTCAATATCTCAAAAAGCTTAAGGTCCCTATTACAATTTAGGTTTCACCCACATCACTTCACAGAATGGCATGCCATGTCCTTCTTTCATGTTCTTTGGTGAGACTGATATAGCCTGTCCTTATTGGACCTTGTTTTTCTAGGCTACTTCATAGCAGCCTGGTGATAGTGAATAATATTCATAACAAAGGCACATTGTCTAGAGCTAATGTGTTGAGTAAAAAGGGTTACTGAAAAAAAACACCCTGGCCCTGAGATAAGAGCCAAGGTAACATATCCTGCCCCTAACCAACTCAGGACTTGAAATCCAGCCAATCCCTGAGCATGAAAACCAACAAATGCCTGAGCATTAAAATCAACAATCTCTGAGCTTGTTCCAAGCTCAGGACTTGAGATCCTGCCAATGTTCACCCTGAAAATCTTCACCCTGGAAAGCTCCACCCATAAGAAACCCTATATAAGCCCTACCTGTTCAGTTTGGGACTGCATTTCTTCCACCCTCAAACAAGCAACCATTCTCCTAGATTCCTCCCTCCCAATAAATATCTTGAGTGAGGTTTGTTGTAATTTTGTTATTTTGCCTTAGTAGAACAGACTTTTGCTATAGCAGAGTAGAGCTGTAATGGCTCTCACTGGAGTGGAGTAGAACTGCTACACTTCCTGCAAAGAAACTTTCCCTTAGAACAGAGCTGTAACAACCTTCATCAGAGTGGAGTGGAGCAAAGCAGGGCTGGAGCAGAGAAGAACTATAACACTTTGACTAAGGAAACCTTCCCTTGCTGAAACAGAGTTATTACACTCTGGGGGAGTTGAGCAGAGTTGGAACACTTTTCTGGAGCTGAGCTGTAAAAATCTCACTGGGGAAACCCTCCGTTGGAGGAGCAGAGTTATTATACTTTCTTTAGGTAAACCTTTTCTGGAGCAAGGGCTGTAACACTTTGCTGGGGAAACTGTCCCTTGCTGGAACAAAGCTGTAACACTTCTATAAGGATACCTTTCCCTTCATAGCTGTAGATATTCTTGGGCTTCCAACTGCCAGAATTCTTTTCTTTCAGAGCTGTAGGTATTCCTTGGTTTCTGATTGCCATATTACCTTTCTATCACAGTTGTAACACTTACATAACTGAGGTCATGCCTGGAGTACACCTTGTTGTACACCACCCTGTTATTGGGAAGAAACAAGTGAAACCAGCATTTAGAACCTTACATGATGTTATAATTTAACTTTTAATTTTTATCTAGTTTCTAGATTCCTAGTTGATGTTGATTTTCAACCTAAATTGTACTTTTATATTTATTTGTAGCAATGAAATCATGACATCAAAGATTTTGATGATGGTCTGTAAAGTTTTATATTATATAACACTAACATGAAATGTCTAATAGAGTTGGGAAATTAAATAGGAGAAAACTAAAGCAGTTAAAAATTTGAAAGAGGGTACCAGGCATGGTTTGAGTAAGGAGAAAATAAAACCATAAGGCAACAAAAAAGTCCCAAGTTCTGATTAGGTTGCTTCTTATGAATTATTGATTCATTAAGCCCTCTTGGCCAATGATGTAAATCAGACTGTTGAATGAAAGTAGCACCATCTTAAATAGGTTTACTCTTGCTGTGATGAAATATTATGCAATGTCTGGTTGGGCAGAAAAGGTTTATTTTACACATCCCATGTTACAATCCATTTAGTGAAGCCAAGACAGGAACTCAAGTAGGGGTGAATCTGGAGACAGGAGCTGATGTAGATAGAGGTCAAGGAAGAGTGCTGCTAAGTTGTTTGCTCCTAATGGCTTTCTCAGCTTACTTCTTTATAGAGTGTAGAACCATCAGTCTAGAGTGATATAACTCACAATGGGTTGTTCCCTCCCACATCAATTATCAATTAAGAAAATGCTCTAGAAGCTTGCTTACAGCCCAGTTCTCTGGAGGCATTTTCTCAATTGATTTTGATTCCTCTCAGATGACTATAATGTGAAGCTGACATAAAACTAGCCAGTATAATTGACTCCTTGTCAACTTGGCACACAAATTCATTACTGTTAAGCTATAACATTACCTTTCTTGTACATATCCAAGATTGCACATTAATATCAACATTATAATATAAAACATCTTACAAACTTAAAAGAGTCCCACAGACTTTAAAAATTAAACACTTTAAAATTCAGTCTCTTTAGAATTCAAAAATATCTTTTAAAAATCCAAAACTTCTTTAAAACTTTAAAGTCTCTTGTGATGGCTATTCATGGTTGTCAAACTGACTACATCTAGAATTAACTAGAACCCCAAAATGGAAGGTATACCTGTGAGGGATTTTTGCTTAATTTGAAGTAGGAAGATCCATTTCTAAACCTGATCTTTGAAGTGGGAAGATATAACTTTAATCCTGATCATTTGATGTAGGAAAACCCCCTGTAATCTGGGCCACACTTTCTGCTGGAAGCCTATATAAGGACATGGAAAAAGGAAGCAGCTTTTGTTCTTTGCCTGCTTGCTCTTGGTTTGCTAGCAACTCCATTCCTTCACTGGCATTGGATCGTACTTCTTCAACATTCCAGCTTATACCGAAAACAAGCTGAGACATTTAACATCATGAATTGAACAACTTCTGGATTCTTGAACTTTCCATTTGTGGACAGTCATTGTTAGATTATCTTAACCACAGTCTGTAAATGATTCTAATTAATCCCTTTTTTATATAAGTTCTATAAGTTCTGTTACTTTAGAGAACACTGACTAGTACATCTCTCAACTGTGCATTCCTGTAAAATCAAAAAAAACTTAAATACTTTCTTACTTCATGTGGGAAGAACCAGGCCACAGTCATAATTTGAACAACACAAAACCAAGCTCCATCTGTGCAAATAACTAAGCATCCATTGTCTGGGATCCACTCATGATCTTTTGGGCTCCTCCGAAGGACTTAGGTCATGATTCTATCTCCATTATCTGCAGCCTAGATAGTCTCTTAACCTCACAGCAGCTCCACACTACAGCTGCAACTGTTGTGGTCACCCCTTGGTACTGGTGTCCTCAAAATTCTGGGGTGTCTTGCTATAACTGGGCTGCACTTTTACCAATAGCCTCTCCTGAACTCTCTTCAGAGACTCCAGCTGCCAAGTCTCAGCTGCTTTCCATGACCTTTCATGCCTTCAAAACTCATTAATACCTGGGTGACTCTTATACTACCAAGTTCAGCTACTAGGACGAGGTGTAACCTTGGTTTCCTCTAGAACATAAATTCTGTGTGTTGACCCTAAAAAAAAAAATGCTTGCCAGAATATTTCACCTCAATTACACTGGTTTCTTATCATAGCTGATTCTTCAGTCCCAGCTGAACTGCATCCATTTTCTCAGCCAAGAAAAGGTTTCACTTTAGTGGTTCTGATATCTTGTTAATTACAGCTGATTGTTCAGGTCTGACTAAACAGAACCACATAGGCTTATATTTTTGAGTGCATGGGCCTCAATTAGTGGAAATGTTTGAGAAGGATTAGGGGATTGGCCTTGTTGGAGGAAGTATGTCAATGAGAATTGAGTTTGGGGTTTCTTTCTTTTTATTTATTTATTTATTTATTTATTTTTTTAAGATTTATTTATTTATTATGTATACAATTTTCTGTCTGCATGTATACCTACAGCCCAGAAGAGGGTGCCAGATCTCATGACAGATGGTTGTGAGCCACAATGTGGTTGTTGGGAATTGAACTCAGGACCTCTGGAAGAGCAGCCAGTGCTTTTAACCACTGAGCCATCTCTCCAGCCTGCTTTGGGTTTTCAAAACCTACAAGAGGATCTCTCTCTCTCTCTCTCTCTCTCTCTCTCTCTCTCTCTCTCTCTCTCTCTCTCTGTGTGTGTGTGTGTGTGTGTGTGTGTGTGTGTGTGTGTGTGTGTGTGTCTGTGTGTCTGTGTGTCCTTATTCTCTTCCTGCTGCCTGAAAACCAGGATGTAAAGTTCTCAGCTACCATTCCAATACCATGCCAGCAAGCCTTCTACTGCTCTTCCTGCTCTCCCTGCCATGATGTTTATGTACTAACCCTTTGAAATTGAGCAGGCGCCCAATTATATACCTTCCTTTAGAAAGAAAGAAAGAAAGAAAGAAAGAAAGAAAGAAAGAAAGAAAGAAAGAAAGAAAGAAAGAAAGAAAGAAGAAAGAAAGAAAGAAAGAAAGAAAGAAAGAAAGAAAGAAAGAAAGAAAGAAAGAAAGAAAGAAACGAAGGAAGGAAGAAAGAAAGAAAGGAAGGAAGGAAGAAGAAAGGAAGGAAAGAAGGAAGGAAAGAAAGAAAAAGAAAGAAAGTAAAAAAGAAAGAAAGGAAGGAAGGAAGAAAGAAAGAAAAAGAAAGAAAAAAGGATGCGCCAGCTCTGATAGAGTCTTTGAGTGACTACTAAACTTCCCTCTGGAATTTCACAAGCCAGGACTCCATCATCCACGTTTCTATCAACACTCTTATCTTCCAAACTTACACAGAACAGCTCACCAATCTTTCAACACTCAATGGCTTTTCTCATTCAAAGTTCCAAAGTCTTTCCACAATCCTCACCAAACCAATCTGGTTGGGTCTCTCACAGCAATACCACACAATTTCTGTCTTAGTTAGTGTTACTATTGCCATGAAATACCATGACTAAAAGTAACTTGGGGAGGAAAGGGTTTATTTGGCTTACACTTCAACATTGTTATTCATCACTGAAGAAAGCCAGGACAGGAACTCAAACAGGACAGGTGCCTGGAGTCAGTTGTTTATCCAAAAGCCATGGAGATATGCTGCTTGCTGGCTTGATCTTCATGGCTAGCTTAACCTGCTTTCTCATAAAACTTAGGACCACCATTCCTGGGTGGTACCATCAATGGGCTGACACACCCATATCAATCACTAATTAAGAAAATACTCTACAGGCTTGAATATAGCCTAATATTATGGAGGCCTTTTCTCAGTTGAGGTTCCTTCCTCTCAGACGACTATAACTTCTGTCAAGTTGACATAAAACTAGCCAGCACAAGGAGTATATGTAAGTGTCCACAGGATGCCTTGTGATCTGGTTGTATGGCACAGAGAAATTTGACTGATACTAGGTCCCAGATCCCATGCTGCCTTCTTTTTTGGTGCCAGATGGGCCTAGATCAGATTATAGTGAAGTACTATTTAGGGACCTATTAAGATAGATTCAATACAGTTACGAAGCCATAGCAAAAATAATTACTGGTCTTGTGGTGGCACAAATTTATAGATGCAGTATCTGCTGTTTTCTGGTGGGTTTAAATCCTATTCCTTTGATGAAATTTGTATTTGCTATTGTGAGCCTGGCAAGAAATCTGACTGAGAACGTTGTAGGCTCCAGTAGGAAGGTCTTTAATGTTATTTGGTTAAACGATGTTCTTATTTGCCTAAAAAAAATCTTCTAAACATCTGTTTTTATGCTCTATTCCTGCTCATATGTGTCTAATTTGTAGCAATAAATTGTATAGTGTTCTGGGAACATGGCAAAGACTTATACATGTTAAACTACTCAGAATGAGTGACCGTTTGCATTAACCTAGTATTCCAATGTTAAAATAGAAGGAAGAGGAAGAAGAGGCAGAGGGGTGAGGACAAAAAAAGGGAAGAAAGAAGAAAGGAGAAAGAAAAAATTATCACCCCATTCATAATTCAAGCAATATATTAGAAGATGTAGGGAAAATATATGGAAATCCAAAGAAAAGCTAGAAAGCTTTTTTCAAAGCAAGTTGATTTCCTTTGGGCATGAATTCCTATCAGTCTTCTTGGGTTAGAGATGTCTTTTTTTTCATACAATTGGGACCCTAGTAAAATGCAGATGTCTAGATTAGTCTGCATGGAAGTAATGGGGATAGCCATGGGATCCTGAAGTTGGATTATAGATAGAGGGGTTAAATGAAGCCCTGGGTAAGTGAAGCCCTGAGTGAACCTGCTCTTTGACATTGGCACAGGTTACCTACTATTATAAGACCAACTGGCTCATAGGAAATTGGTAAAGCCATTATCCATATGGACCAGGCTCAAGTGGAATGGCAAAGATTTCCTAGGTAATAGGAGCATGATTATTTATGAAGGATTTAGTTGTGAGTGCAAA